TAGAAGAATTAGTAAGTATGTGGCCAAGAGGGTTTGTGCCTAAAAGCAGACAAGATGGTTGTGCTTAGTAAATGCTTTCCTTGAAAAAATGCACCAGGTGTGGTGGCGCAGGCCTGTAATCCCAGCACTGGGGAGGCTGAGGCAGGAGGATCACTGTGAGTTTGAGTCCAACCTGGGCTACACAGTGAGTTCAAGGGCAGTCTGAACTACATAGTGAGACCCTGTCTCAAAAAACCAAAAAAAAAAAAAAAAAGAAAAAAAAAAGAAAGAAAGAAAGAAAGAAAAGAAAAAATGCATAGATTTTTAGGAGCCTCAGTCTCACTGTTTACAGTATAGCTAGCATTTCTTTCCCATATTCAGTCTTCATGCAGAGCCTAATTATTCCCTAGGTTTTTCTGGGGAGATAAATTTCCAGGCAATGGAATGAAAGAGATTTCAAAGTTATATTGAGCCTCTTCCGATTGTCTCTGTGTTGCCATCACCATTTCTGTCCATGTTTGTGTCTTCATGTTTTCCTTCAGCCTACTGCTTCCTTTCAGCTCAGCCGTAAGTCATGATAATAAACAGCTCACTACTTGGAGTGTCTGTATGTTAGCTGAATCCTTCCTACAGTTATACAGTTAAGGCAGTAGAATTAAACCAAAGAATATAATCAGATATTTATTTCATGTTTTTCCACTTAAAATATGCATAAATTGTATGAATTTAAGAATATTTAATGGGCCGGGGATTTAGCTCAACAGTTCGGTGGCCTGCCTCGCAAGCGCAAGGACCTGAGTTCGATCTCCGGTACCACAAAAAAAAAAAAAAAAAAAAAAAAATATTTAAATCAGCTAACCTGAGAAAGAAATAATCACTCATAGTGACTTCTGTGAAAATACAGCCCTATATGTCTCTGGAGATCACAAAGACCTGACATCCCCAGGAATGTTTTCATTAGCGAGCATTAAAGACAAATTATATGAGACCTCCTGTGGCTGTCTTACATCTCTGTATTCTACCATATTCCAAGGTTTTGCCGTGATGAAAGATTTCCTTCTTCCTCAATCCACGGTGCCTCTCCATAAACCTGATGTACACAGAATCCTGTCTCATAAAACCGACTCTTATAAACCATTCACAATTTTCAGCCCAAACTCAAACAACTTGTATTAAAAGTTGAGTCACATTCATGAACCGCCTGGCCCCCTCCTCCACGTGACCCATTCCCATTGGCTTGTGACTATGTATATATTTCCAGAGATCCACTGTAACAGCACTGTATGCAGTTACAGCTCCAAGGCTCCACGTACGCCTAGCCAGCCCACATCTGCTGCAAAGCCACTAGCAGAGCTCACAGACCAGGTCTCCCTAAGGAGGTGAGAGTTATTCCGACTTGTTCAGCAAAGTGCTGCTGCAAAGAGTCTAGTATTGCCAAAAGCAAGTATTTCTGAATGTTCACAGAATAGAGGTTAGGATTTGGCCCTGTACTTGCTGCCCTCCTTACTGAAAAAGGCCAAACCATTGGGCCATTCTAACTCCAGAATGTTGCTCAATGGTAGAATACTTCCCTAGCTCACACACAGCCCAGATACTCAATTCTCAGCACTGCGAAAGAATAACAAAAAAAACAAAATAAATCTAGACAGGCCATTGCTTTAGTCTGGCTGCTATAGCAAATACCTTAGACTGGATAGTATTTTTTAAATAAGAGAAATTTATTAGCCAGGCATGGTGATGCACACCTGTAATCCCAGTACTCGGGATGCTGAGGCAGGAGGATCGCTGTGAGTTCAAGACCAGCCCGGGCTACATAGTGAGATCCAGGTCAGTCGCAGACTACATTGTGAGACTCTGTCTCAAAAAAAAAAAAAAAATATGTATTGCTCACAATTCTGGAGCCTGAGAAATCCAAGATTTGATGTCTCACAATGTTTTTCTACCTCAAAGACAGCACCTTCTTGCTGCCATGCAGCAGAAGGAACAAGCTAACTCTCTTCAACCCTTTCTTGGGTTGAGAGAAAGGTGGAATTTAAATCCAGGGCCTTTGCACAAAGCTGCGTACTCACCCATTTGTTATTTCTTATTTTTAGACAGAGTGCTCAGATTTGTGATCCTCCTGCCTCAGCCCCCCACAGTGCTGGGATTATAGGAATGCACACTACACCCAGCTCCTCAGCCTCTCATGTAAGAGCACCAATACCATACATGAGGGTAGAACCCCAAGAGGCTTCATGTCTTCCTGCTGTCACATTGGGTGTTAGGTTCCAACTTAAGAATTTTGGAGGGACACCAACATTCAAACCATAGCAGCCATCAGAAGTAAGTTCACAGAGAAAATCAGTTAATCGATACATCACTGCATTCTTTTACAAAGTAGGGCAAGGATCTAAAGACACAATGCAATCTGAATACAGAATCCCACAGGCACTTGCTTGTGAAGCATCAGATCTCTGAAGCGTCCTTCTCCCTAGAGGCTTAGTCACAGTGACTGAGCAAAGAGAATACTAGTAACCAACATAAAAGTATTGTGGCAGAAATGAAGCACGCAGGCTTTAGAGCAAGGCAGACCTGGTGAGACTTTTAGGTCTGCAATTTTTTCGTGTCATAGCATGTTCATCTTCAACCCCTTTTCTTCATTTGTAAATAGGGATGATGGTAATAATACTTTTTTCTCCAGAAATTTGTTCAAAAATAAATGAGATCACATGTGGGGAACACTTGGCACCATGCCAGACGAAACACTCACACAGAAATTTGTTCAAAAATAAATGAGATCACATGTGGGGAACACTTGGCACCATGCCAGACGAAACACTCACACTCCATAGATGAGTGCTAAGATCTCATTTTTTAATGCCCAATTTAAAAAACAAAAGAAAAAACCTGTCTGGATTCTGTTGGTGCCCAACTGTGGTTTGTTACAAAGTTGACTATTTTAATGACATACGAGTTACCTATATTGATGTAACAGGGCTGCCAAACACGATATGTGATTGAATGGCTTACGGCACCAAAATTTATTTTCTGATCGTTAGGAAAGCTGAAAGTCCAAGAGCAAGGTGTCGGCAGGTTCAGAGTCTTCCAAGGCCTCTCCTTCTGCCCCATCCGCTCACTGTGTTCTCACTCGGTCACTGTCCATCTACGTTTCACCTTTGGTGAGGACACCAGTCAAATTGAACTGGGGCCCACCTCACAGCCTTATTTCAACTCCCTTGCCTTTCTTAAAAAATGCTTTTTAAAATGCCCTATTTCCAATATAGTCACATTCTGAGATACTGGAACTTAAGTTTCGGCATATAAATTTCAGAGGGACACAATTCAGCCCATATTGTTGTCATAAATAAATCAATTTGGAAATAATTCTTTGCAAGAATAATGACTTGAATAGAAAGTATGGTTGAGGAGGGCCAGGGGTGTCGCGTAGTGGTGCAGCACCTGCCTGACAAGCACAAGGCCCTGAGTTCGATTCCTGGTACCAAAAAACAAAAGAAAGTATGGTTGAGGGATTTTTAGGCGTTTCTAACCACTGAAATGGAATGACTCTGCAGGATTCTCTATATTTCACCTACATAGTAAATAAGTTTATTGTATACAGAAAACACGAAGTCAAGAATAAATCTCTGTAAATTAATATCTAATATAAAAAAGAAATATAGTTTCTGATAACAGGCTACACATATCTTTAAATTACATTAGTGTGCCAGGTGTGGTGGCACACACCTATGATGCTAGACCTCTGGTAGGCTGAGGCAGGAGGATCACAAATTCAAGCCTAGCCTGGGCAACTTAGGGAGACCTCATCTTTAAAAAATTGTAAAGGCTAGGCATGGATCTCATTGTGCGTGTAATGCCCTGGGTTCAATCCCCAGTATTGCAAAATACATACATATTGAAAAATACTTGCTTGTATCATTCATTGAGCAAGGAATTGGGAAGACTTATTTGTATTTCATTCACATAGATATAATAATTTTTATCTGTTGAGGTAATTTCGTAATTTGTACCTGTTAGCCAGGCATGGTGGCACATGCCTGTAATCCCAGCACTCGGGAGGCTGAGGCAGGAGGATCGCTGTGAGTCTAAGACCAGCCTGGGCTACATAGTGAGTTCCAGGTCAGTCTCAACTACATATGAAACCCTGTCTCAAAAAACCAAATGATAATAATAATAATAATTTGTACCTGTTGAGATAAAGCATTAGGGTAAAGGTTATGGAGAAACCTAGAGAAATCCTGAGCAGCCTCGGGGAGCTACTTTATCTCCTTGGACAAACATCAGAAATGTCACAAAGTGAATTTACTTAATTGCTGGTTAAATGCTCAGTGTAGACAAGGGATGCTGTGTTCAGAAGATACAATCACCTCTTCCGCCCAGTGTTGAGATTTTGAACTTTAATGGTTAACAGGAAAAGAAAGGGGTATATTTAAAAAATAAAGATAAGCCTGGCGTGGTGGGCCGTGCCTGTAATCCCAGTGTTTGGGAGACTGAGGCATGAGGATCGCCATGACTTCTGGGCCAGCCTGAAGTATGTAGCGAGGCCCTATCTTTAAAAAAAGATGACTTGCTACAGGATTCAAGACCAATGGAGAGAGAGCGGCCCAGAGGGAAGCACCTAATAAACAGTGGTGCAAGAGATGTGCTGAGCAGGGTCTCACCAAGAAGCATTTCCAAGAGTCCCACCTTCCCATGGTGTGGTATGAGGCCCACGGTGTCTTCCGCCCCCAGGTTCAGTTGAACTCTGACACTTGTGGATAATGGTGTACTGTTGCTGCTATGACTGCAGAATGATACCCGTGCTTGTGAAACACAAGGCAGGTACCACCAGATTCTCATGGGAGATCTTTACCTGAAAGGGTATGCAAGGACAGCCTTCCGTGATCAGTGGAAAGGTGTCACAGTTCTTGATTTCTTCACCAGCCGTGGAGAATATTTAATTTTTGTTAAGCAATGATAATGACAGATATAACTACATGTAACCTGAGAAGATTCCTGTGTAAGATGTGTCTTTATTCCTTTAGGCCTCTTTTTCGTGGAAGTTCAGATGTGGATCAACTAGGAAAAATCTTGGAGTAAGTAATAACTAAATCAGTATCCATAACATTGAAAACATCTCCAGTGACTTTCCTCTGATATTGATATAATATGTTTATCTCTTGTCTCTCTTACCCCAAGTCGCTGCTGCAGACAGTGTTACTATGTGTGTGGTGAGTGGAAACAGTGCCCGGCATTTGAAGTGCAGCCTGACTGCTGCTTTGGAAGCTGTGTGTTGCTTGTCTGAACCTTTTTTGCTGTTCCTCTTTCTTTGCTTGGCTGAGCTCCAGCTCTTTAATGCAGACGTGTCACCTTCTTAGGATTCTTTTTCTTTTCTTTTTTTTTTTGGTACGGGGGATCAAACTTGGGTCCTTGCGCTTGCAAGGCAGACGGCAGAGCCACTGAGCTAAATCCCCAGCCCTTAGGGTCGTTTTAGATGCACCCTTCATCAGATGTGGGGCACTTGGTGCACTGGTAACCCATCCTTGTCCGTGAAGATGCTTGTCCCCATCAGGATATATTTTCAGCCATCTAGATTTGTTTTGCATTGTTGTGTTTTGTTTTCCTGAGCCAAGGATAGGATGCTATATAATCCCATTCTTCTTTAGAGCACAAAATGGGTAATGAGAATCCTAGGTTCTCATCCTGGGACTATGATTAAATAATTTGAGAAAGTCATTTAAAACACCTGACTATCAAAGGCTTGCACAGTCTCTGGCACATAGTAAGTACTTTAAAAATGTTAGTGACTATTGTTACTCTAATTCATCTTTAATTATTTAACCTTTGTCTTCCTGAATTTCTTTGAGAAATGAAACTCTGACTTAACTTTAGTCGTAAAATTCTTTCTTGGGCTCAAATTCTTTGGTTCCATTTTTTGTTACACAGCTCCTTGATGATTTGCAGAATACATATGTGCATGCTTGTGCATGTGAGCATATGTATGCTTTCATGTCTCTGGAATATAACTGGGTCTTTTTTTCCTCACAAAGCATGCAGTCAGTATGGCATCTTTTTTGGATATGTGCATCTGCCAAGACCCATCAGAAGTGGGGTGGAGCTTCAAGAAAGCGGGAGCTCTGATTAAAAATAGCTGTGATCATTGGTCTGAAACATTTCATAGGAATCCCAGTGCTTTTTATGAAATCTGAAGTCAGAAAGGTGGCAAAAGCATGGCCCCTAAAGAACAGAATTCTATGTTAGCCCCATGTATTCAAGTATTACTGCTTAAAACAGCTGGAGTAACACTGGAGTCTGACTTTGCTCTTTTCTGATGACTGGAAACAGCTCCAGTGACTTCTGGAAGTGCCCGTGCTGCCACTGAGTCAGAACCCGGTGACTCGAAAGCCTGAAGAACATTGCTAGTTTGGTTTCTTCGTTTTTGCTTTTGTTTTTTGTCGGTGAACTTCCCAAGTGTAGGGCAGCTCCACTCTTGGTACTGCTGGCCACCCCTGCGATGGATAAATTTGGCTCAAAGTCCTCAGGTTAATCCTGCTTCTTGATGTCAGGTTTTGTGATCCTTCGGCTATGAGCTCACATTTGGTTTCCCCTTGACCACTGAATATATTTTGTGCGCATGTGACCTTAAAGAGGGAACTGTGAGAGTCATACGTTTTGGAATCCCTCTGTTGAATAGAGAAAACTTCTGCACCAAAATCCGCTTGCCAGGCATGGCATCAAAGGCCATCCCTTCCTCTCCCTTATCTGCACCACCTGGGTTTTGCTGTTCCCCCAGCGCAGTGTGCAGTCTTATTAATATTTTTGGTATCCCCACTTAGAACATGGAGCCCTACAGTGGACCAGAAGGAACATTTGACCAGCATGTTTGACCTGCTTCTGAGGGAAAGTTGGTTCCACTTTGGCAGGGACCTGACAAGCCTGGATTTCCAGCAGAAAAGAACCTGTAAAGCTCTGTACATTTTGTGCCTATAGATTTTTATTTCTTGGTGTCTGGCATTGTTTCATCAAAATTAATTATGTTACATTTCCTCACAATGCATTACCTTGGCCAAGAAAAGGGACAGTGCTGCTCCCTAGTGTTACTGTAAAATATGTGAAAAATGACTTCTGTCCCCACCGTCACAGCCATTTACAGGTTTTGTGCTGTCGGTCTCTCCAGTGTAAATGTCCACTTTTAAGGCTTATATCCAGCTGTCCAAATAGTGGAATGTGATGCAAGCACTTTTTAGCGTCCCTATCAGAATTTTAAAACACTCATATATGGGCCATAAAAGTTCATATTCGATACGAAACTGAAGTTTTTAAAGGAAAGCTGTACTCATATACTCTGAGACACACATATTTCAATGTTTAAGAAGATTTGTACTTTGCAAAAACACAAGTACTTTGAAAGTGAAACAGTGCTTCTAGCCTGTGACATTTTAGAGCGCTTCTTAAGGGCAGTGTCATAGTTAATGAAAATAAAATATTGGATTTGGAATTTGGAGACGGGTTCTCTACGGGCACTGTGACTGAAATCAGTGTGTGACTTTTGCAGTTCAATTCAATTCATTCCTCATTCTCTTGTTTCCCCAGCTACAAAAGGGGACTTATACCCCTGGCCAACATGCATCAGGACGTCCTTCCATGAGTCAGAAGAGGGGAAAGACTTACAGTTTTATATAAAACTTTATAGAAATAGTAATTTTTAAAATACACATATAGTTTGTATGTAATCTACCATACATACATACAGAGATAAGCTCTTTCTCTGAAAGCTTTTGGCTTTCATTTGACTATACTCGCAAGATTATATCTCAAGGTATAAATTCAAACTTGGAAATAAAAAATTTTTATCTCCCACTCATTATGATGAATGGCGATAATATGCAAAAATTCTGATATAAAAGGGAAAAGCCAAAAAGGAATGAAAGAAAATTTTGAAAGATCTCTAATAAACCTTACTGTTTTTGTCCTTTGCCCTCTCCCCAGTTCTGTCCAAACACATAGTCGTGCATTTCCTTTTATTTTCTTCTGACTGGGGGCATGCTGGGGATTTAACCCCGGCCCTTGACTGTACGGAGCACGTGATCTACCCCTGAACTACACTCCTGGCTCATTTTCTTCTCATTTCTGTCATTTCAGAGCTCGTCATTAAACACATTCCTATATTGCTCAAGTTGTTTCCACTCATTGGTTTCAGTAAATACATCCACAAGACTCTTTGCCTTCACAGTGCGGCTCTCTCTAGATGCCCAGCAAAGGCAGAGTTAGTGTCTTGTGACAGCCAATGACAAGTGCATTGACAGCCAGGGTATCTGCTCTTTCCAGGTAAGGTCTGGATCCTGGGCTCTGTCTGGATAAGGGAAAGGGAAACAAAGCCCTGCAGATACTATGACATTCACCACCAGCTCATCGTGAAACCTGGAAGTACATTCATGAGGTCACCACTTCCCCGGCCTTAGTCTCATTCAAAGGGTGCCGACCTAGGGGAAGTCTCTAATGTGTGTCAGCATCATTTCTAATTGGAGTTAAAATAACTTGCTTTTGTATTCGAATAGCAATACATTCTGTCTGCTAACTTGTTTTAATTCGTTACTCTATCTTTGTAAGCTATAAGTTCTTCCATCCTCTTATTTCCCTTGCTCAAAACTACTTACCACCTATACGTAACCTATGAATAATATCTTAGTTTTTAAATTACATAGATAGACTCACATTAATATGTCTGAAGAACCTTAAGTTACACATAAAGAGAAGTCGAGCTATTCGTATTTGTAGTGTGGTGGCACTGTGTTTCCCACAACACTATTTTCCTGTGATGATGATGAACAATGATACTGACCAGATTAGCAGTGTTGACGCATTCTTATATGCTTCACATATGTTGTCATTCATCATCATGACAACCATCAATTATCATCATTATTGTACACATAAGACAGCAGGAGTCACAAGCATTAAGTATTTCGTCATTCCTGCCAGTAAGTGGGAAGATGCAGAATTTGAACCCAAATCTACCTACTTCCAAAGCCTCTTCTCGTTTTCTCACTTGCTATTTTCTCCACATTTCTGATCCCAGAATGGCTTTCAGAGGAAACCTATACAATATTATTTACTCACTTTGGAGTACCGCAGATGTCTTTTATAAAACAGTATTTGCATAAGACAAGACTAATGCTTCCTGGCCCAGGTGGTTCTGCTGCCTGCCTCATAAGCATAGGGTCCCAAGTTCAATCCCCACTACAAAAAAAAAAAACTTTCTGGCCCTACTTTTCTTTTGTCTGATGTCTAATGTATGTAGTTGTTGTTTGGGAAATTACTCTAACCAGCAATGCAGCTAAATTGATGTATTAATAAACCATATTTGGATGAGTGTCATGAAAGCATATCCTTTTGGACATGTTCCATCAGAACAAAAAAACCCACTCATGGGCATAAGGGAAGATATTATATACCCATGTATAGCTCCTTAAATCCAGTGGGTCCTGTTTTAGCCATACATTAAGGCTTCCCCTGAATGTATGTTCCACTTCTACACTAGCAATTCCATCTAGTATCTGATGCCCAAGTAATCTCTTACCTCCTCCTCAGGAATATTACAGCTACCCTGGGATGCAAACCTTGACCCTGTGACCACCATATTGCCTTAGAGCAGAGGCAGATGAGAGAACCTTCAAATCATAAAAGTGAAGTTCTCTTGGGGCTCTGTGTCCCCTGACCTGCCCCGTAGGCTTTACTTTCTCTAGACAGTGAGAAAGCCCTTCAGGAAGAGGGTAATGCTCACATTCATATGTGGTTCTTTTGTAGTGTAATCGGACTCCCAGGAGAAGAGGACTGGCCTAGAGATGTCGCCCTTCCCAGGCAGGCTTTTCATTCCAGACCTGCCCAACCCATTGAGAAGTTTGTAACAGATATTGATGAGCGAGGCAAAGACCTACTTCTGGTAAGTTCATGTAGTGCATAGCCGGTCTCCTGGGCTCGTCCTATCCAGACGGGGTGCTGGACACGAGTATCAGTGGCAGGCATCACATGCCACAGCCACATGGGGGAGTTGGCTGCAGTCTTTGCATGAGTTCCGTTTCCAGCTGGTGGCTTTTGATTCTGAACCCCACTTTTTAATGAAGTCTGCCATCTTTGAATGTGTATTTGAATGCCACAGTGGAAGCTTCTCTGTATGCTTCTTTAGAGATAAATGTTATGTTGGCTTGTTTAAAGCTTCATGGAAGTTAAGCAACCTGTTTGTCTTTTGGGGGAGGCAACCAGAGTTTGAACTCGGGACCTTGCAGCTTGTGAGGCAGGTAGCGGAACCACTGAGCTAAATCCCCAGCCCAATTTGTTTGTCATTTTAATGGTACTTTTTCTAAGACAGAGATGTAATATCACATCTTTAAGAATATACTCTTCCAAAGAGACTAAGTAGCAACACTCCTATTAGTTACCAGTTTCTTTAATAAATATTTAATGTGCCTTGCATATATAAAATACCTCATTGAAAATAAGGCCAAGAAAAAAAGAAAAGAAGGCAGGCGTGGTGGCGCACACCTATAATCCCAGCACTTGGGAGGCAGAGGCAGGAGGACCACTGTGAGTTGGAGGCCAGCCTGCACCACAAAGCAAGAACATGGTGTCTCAAGACAAAAAAAGAGAGAGAGAGGGAGAGAAGTGGACTTCTAGGCTCTGTTTGAGATTCAAAATCATACTATTGGACCTTATACACAATTTCCCTGTACAGATGGGTGTATCTGTTGGGCTTCTCTTGATGTTGGCCCCCAGCGAGTGACGAGTGTATCTTTTACCTCTTGAAATAGCAGACTTTGATATCTGCTCAGGCCTGTGGATCCAGGCCAGGGCTTCTCCATGTGTCTCATTCTGCACCCACGCCAGAGAGGCAGCACTCCTTCGGGTATATTTTTCTCATGCAGCAGATAAATGCTCCCACACAAGCAGGCAGAAGCACAGAATGGCCCTGAGGCCTGTGCTTGGGAGAAGCACGCTGCCAATTCTTGCCGCATTCCCCTGGCCAAACCATGTTACGGAGCCAAGGGTAACTTCAACTGAGGAAAGAATGCTTCTCCTGTGGAAGAAGGGGACCGAAAAGAATATCTGCTGAAAAAAGCTTAGTCCACTGTAGTATTCAAGACTTGACTAAGTGATGATTCTAAAAGCTCATTTTGTAAGTCAGCATTTTGGAGCAGAAGCAATATTATCCACAGAGTTTTGAGTTAAGTCTTACGCCGCTTACCTTGTACCGAAAAGTGAGCAACAATAGAACTTACCCACTTTTCCTAACTATATCTATAGGACCAAATGTAATGAACACTTCCCCTTGAAGTTTCCACATCCCCGCATTTGGCTAAGGAACTCTCCTCTCCCAATTCTTACACCATCGGTGCAGAGGAAGGGCCTTCTCCCAGACAGTCCTGTAGCGATATGTCTCTATCTTGAACGTATTCCACAGCACTTCTCTCTTTCCTGTGTCCCACGCATTAAACTGGCGGCTTCCTTTTCTAATACTGCTGCCTTATTTTCTCCTTGGACTGTGGAAAGAAAGGCTCAGTCTCAAGAATTTTTGCCTCTGCTTTCCTGTTCTTTGCAAATTTAGCCTTTGCAAAGCTTTTCTAAAGTTGTTTATTACTATTAGACACAGAGGAACCATTCTACAAACAAGCTGCCTCCTCTGCCTGCTGTTTACCTCTTTGATTTTCAGAAAACCCAAAGGGGAGACTGGCATCCCTGAACTGGTAGGTAACTCATATAAATAAGATTTCAGGAAATCCAAGAACTTCGCCTGAAATTATTTGGAGAATTTTCTACTTGTATATGACTCTTTAGGCCAGTAGTTCTCAACAGTATATTAGAGGGGCTCCACATCCCATGAGAACCAAATGAAGACTTAGGAGGAGCCCACACTGAGGACTGGAGATGTGTGCATAACTGTAGCAGCCTTCAGTCTCTGGAGGACTGGAATTCATACACATTCCAGAGACCCAGCTCCAGGAGCGGACATAACGTGCTGAGTGTCTCAAATGCGGTCCTGTCGCGTGTTGGCAGCCTGTGAGCTGCTGCGGCGGCGGGTATGTTACTCGTCATTCGTGCCTGTCACCAGCTAGGTGCTCTTCAGGAGCTATCAGTGCAGGGAGAGGAGAGGGAGTTGAGGAAGCAGGTTCTGGGAGTGGAGTGGAAGTGGGGCTGAGACTACGGGCACCGTTAACAGTTTGGGGATGTAGGTGGCTGCTTCTGCAGTGGTTCATCTGCGCCTGTCCCCTGTAGCCAGTCAAACTCACTAACCCATTTGACCAGGATCAAGTGCACCATAAGTGCAGGGACCAGTTCATTCGCTTGAGTTGTCAGACTTCAGGGGCTCAGATTTGGTCCCCTGGGCTCTGGAGGCCTGATGCTAGCCCATGTGGCTTCTGGATATGAATGAGAAGGACAGCGTCCCTTCCTGCAGTGGTGCAGCCTACGGCAAGGTTCACGGCTTGATGCCTCAGGCTATAGGGGCTTAGGTTTAGCTCTTCTTACTCTCCATTGGGCAGCATTGCACAGCAGTCACCCTTTAACACCTGAACAGGGCACTTCTTCTCTCTGCTCTTTGACAACCCTTGAGGCAAAGCAAAAGGCTAGGGTGAAGTCTCTCACAATAGCACCGAGTTTGCTAATACTGTACTAGTCCAAGTAAAGTGACACATGTACTGCAAATAAAACATTAACTTGTCTGTATGTGGTGGTTGGGTTTTTTATGCTAGGCAGGTGCTATACCACTGAGCTACACTCCCAGACCTCAAGCTTTTTTTTTTTTTTTTTTTTTG